TAAAAAGCATTAGATTTCCAGGTTTAATCAGTAGCTTTTATATCTGATGTCAACTGGGCAAAAAATACCGTGATTGAAATCAAATGCAAATGGACTCACCTTAGTTACAAACATTGGAATAAGCAAGTAGTATATCAGAATAACTAGGCTGCCCTCAGAGAGACAGATAAATTTCCTACGTTGTCACATTCTTGCTGTAAGAGCTACTCGGTATCAGTGACTAGCATACAGTAGGCCTCTACAAATAGCTGCTAAATCACGGAGAAGATGAATGGTTAAGTAGCAACTAGGGAAGCATTTTATTCTTGTGATGTTTTGTGGCTATGGGGGTACCTACAAGGAGGGCCCATGAGCACCCTGAGTTGCCTGGTTAATAAGAACTATGAAATACATTTTAACAAATTCTATCTCCTAAATGGCGGCTGAGAGAGGGAGGGAGGGTAGAAGGAAGTACAGGAAATAGAACCATTTAAGTATGTATCTGTCCTACAGTAAATGCTTTATGTATATTTTTTCATCAGTTAATTCTTATAAAAATAAAGAAACTGATGATATGAAAGTCAAGAAAATTCTTCAAGTCATGTAAGTGGTAAATTGTAGAAACTGCATTGAAATCCTGAACTGTCTAGTTCCTTAAGTTTATGAATCCAAAACTGTTAATCTTTCCATCACAGTCCAAGAAAAAGATGAAGAAAAGAAAAAAAGGAAGAGAAACTAGCAGAGAAGGAAGTGAAGGAAAAAGATGATTATATCAGAGAAATAATCTACATCAAATGGTTGATTACAAGTGTGCTAGGTGTTAACAATCATTTAAAATATAGTTTCTACTGGAAAATAAATTGGATTCCAAATAATGACTTACCAAAGAACATTAGACACCCAAGAAATTAAGTTGGGACCTTTATATGTATATAACATTTTGAATATTTTAAAGTACCTCTATATCTATTTTATCACTTTAAAAGTCCCTTATTAACACTCCTAGGAAATTCAATAACACCCACCTCAAAAAGAAAAAAAGAATCCTTTGTGAAATTCAAGAAAATTTTCATTCACCTGAATATTCTGGGAGTTTGTGTGTGTTGGAGAGAAAGTTGTAGTTAATTAAAATTGCTCAATATTTTCAGGGCACCTGGGTGGTGCAGTTGGTTGAGCATCCAACTCTTGATTTCAGCTCAGGTCATGATCTCATGGGTCATGAGATCAAGGCCCACATCGGGCTGTGCACTCAGCAGGGAGTCTGCTTAAAGATTCTCTCCCTCTGCCCCCCACTCTTGCATTTTCTGCTTCTAAAATAAATTAAATCTTTAAAAAAATTGCTCAATATTTTCAAGTTTAATCAGAGAACATGCCTTGTTTTAACTCTTGTTATTTATTATTAGTGTTTTCAAAGTATCCATCCTAAAAAAAATTCTTCCATCCACCTATCTTAAGTTATAGAGTATATAATGCTCTAATCTTTAATGATTTGGCATCTTATAGTGGTGCCTAAATGAAGGTCATGATCATGAATGTCTGATGTATACAGGATAAGGAAAGTTAACTGCATATATGTTGAAAAGAAAAGCTAAAGTCTAGAAGTCAGATATTTTTTAAAGCTAAACAACTGGTATGTTAGTTTCTCTTTTTAAAAACATTGAATAAGAACATATATTAAAATTAAGTAATGGCTTTGGGGAAGTTTTAGAGTAAGTTATCATTAACTTTGTTATATTTCTCATTTTCTTAACCTCAAAAAAAATTCATTCCAAAGGTCATGATTTTCAAGTGACTTTTTATGTGATAAATACTTTTAATGTTATTTTTGCAAAACACTTAAAAAGGTACTTCCCAAAGATACAAATGTAGTGATCTGAAGGGACACCTGCACCCCAATGTTTATATTAACAGTGCCCACAATAGCCAAACTATGGAAAGAGCCCAGATGTCCATTGACAGATGAATGGATAAAGAAGATGTGGTTTATATACACAATGGAATATTATGCAGCCACAAAAAAACCCCCCAAAATCTTGCTATTTGCAACAACATGGATGGAACCAGAGGGTATTATGCTAAGCGAAATAAGTCAATCAGAGAAAGACATGTATCATATGATCTCACTGATATGTGGAATTTAAGAAACAAAACAGAAGATCATAGGGGAAGAGAGGAAAAAATAGAACAAGATGAAACCAGAGAGGGAGAGAAACCATAAGAAACGCTTAATCACAGGAAACAAACTGAGGGTTGCTGAAGGGAGGGGGCTGGAGGGATACGGTAATTGGGTGATAGACATTAAGGAGGGCATGTGATATAATGAACACTGGGTATTATGTAAGGCTGATGAATCACAGGCCTGTACCTCTGATACCAACAATACATTATATGTTAATTAACTGAATTTAAATAAAAAAATGTTTTAAAAAAAGGTACACTGTGTTCTACAGACTGATCATCTCTTACATGGACAGTTTCTAAATTTCCAAATTCCAATAACGATTAAAGGTATAGCTAATGATCATTTTATTCTAAGACAAGTCAAATGTTATACCTTAAAATACGTCTTACCTGGTTTAAAATAAACATGTTTATAATTTATTGACCTATTTTATAGCAACCACTGATTTTCTTAAAATCTAAATTTTCTAAAGAAAAAATACTGTAATAATTAACCATTTTCTAGAATACACTGGGTAGTTCAGGTCTTAGGCCAAGAAACAGCATATTGAGTCTTTTTGCTCTAACAATGGGATGAAAGTCACATAATTTTGTTGGATAATTATTCATTAGGGTATATATATATAAAAGCAAAATACTGTTATTAGATTTCACTGGATACAAACTGGCCTGAATTAGTAAAAGTCACATATTATAGAATAATTTCAAAGATTTACTGTTCTATTATTTTCAGATAACTCCAATTAACTGCCCACAAAATGCTGTCAAGCAGATATCCAACCAAGCCTCCTTTAATGAATAAATAAGACTTTGTTAGTAAATAAGGTACCTGGAATCTCAATTAACATCCATAGAAATTTGATGTTCTTGGGGGCAAGTAAACAACACTTAAGAGCAACTAAATGATTTAGTCTTCCGAGATCTTACTCATCTTAACCAAGTGAGTTTGTTAACCAAATGACACACAGCTAGGTCAAAGTGCTAATGAATATGTAGCATCTCTTTTTTCAGCAGGAGAGAAAGTATGTGGTTTCATAGTATGCAACACACATTTTGTATGTTCTTAACTGCCTTTGTAGGAGCTCAGCAGGGAAAAGAGAAATTGACTCTTTCTTTGAAGTGTTTCTTCTTTTTGGTCATGAAACAGATGAGAAGGTATGGCCTGGACTATTTCTGTTCACACTTGTCTTAACATAAGGAAATGCTATCTACACTCAAAATCTGTCTACATTCAATACATTTAGAGTAAAGAGGGTCCAATGCTTTTTTACTGATTGATACTATTTTCAATTTCTTCCTTTTTAAAAGCCCAAGTTGCTTATGCATAGTACAGTCAATTCTGCATTCCCAATTCATTAGCCTTCTCAATTTTATTAAGAGACTTTGCTAAATAGCACTCTTTCTAGCACTCAATCACAGACTAGATATAGAGCAAAAAGAAGGATGATACAGGTTTAGATCTCAAATTCAATATCCCAAGTTCCAGTTTTCAACCTCAGAATCAGAAAAATTTCATCATGCTCAATTGTAATTTCCAAGCTGCAGTATATAGGAATTTATGATTCTGATGTTAAAATTCTTGTCCTCAGATCAGTTAACTACTCCTTTACTACAACATGTTTTATTCAGCTGTGAGTATCACCAGAAGGCTTCTTTGTATTCATGCTAGTGAGATGGAAATAACTTTCTAACCAGAGATAACCTTGCCAACTTGGCTTGATTCTAAGAAAACTACTTCATGTATGTATTTTTTTTTCTTTTGGAAAATCTAAAAGCAAAACCTGTATAAATAATACCAACTCCTTATCAAAAAGCTTTCCCCTTAAAAGAAGAAAATTTTTCTACAGGTTCTTAAATTAGCATTAAGTATATTTGGAGACCCAGAAAATGCAGTTAGGAAATAAGCAAATTGAAAACAGCATTGACTTAATTTTCTCTTCTTTGGTTAGCTTCTGTGTGCTCTTATATGTCATTTGTGTAAAGCTTGAATTGGAAACCTGAAATATTCTTCCCTAATGGAATGTAAAAAAAAGAAACCAGAGATGATTACTCTTACAACACAAATTTAGCATTTATGCAGTAATACTGGGAACAACAAAGACAATAACACTACTTCACAAAGTAAGCAGTTCTTCTACTGCAGGTACAGGTATTTACAATCAGCCTGTTTCATAATTTGTTTGCCATTAAGGAATTCTGACTCTAATATGATAGCCTTTTTGATGGGAACGCTAGTAATATTTAAAATTTTAGCAAGCAATGATGCAGAAAGATGCATAATAATGCTTTTGTGTGTGTGTGTTCATTAAATTAGCTTTCATTTCATTGTGTCCACAGAGTACTCATAGTCAGCACAAGTTTTAGAATAAACTGGAAAATCTTCAAAAAATTGTGAATAATGCTCCCATTAAGCCTCTAAGCTAACTGAGTAAATTGCCAATGTATATTTATGGGAAAGAAGAGAACTCTGAGATAACCAATTCCTTTTGGCAAGTGGTTTACTAAAGCTATGACCAAGCATAAAATCAGAATTTTTTATGTTACATAAAAGTAACTCAAAGTTCCCACAGTGTCCTGCTAGAAACCTATCCACCAAGCTGAATGAAGCCCCTAAATGATCATAATGGTACCCACACCTACTTGACATTCTTCCCAGAAACCGTCCATCATTATTCAGTGAAACAGACACATTAATATACCTTTACATACTAAGAAACTCCCCCAAGACCTCTTAACAGTATGAAACACCACCCAAATCCAAGAAAGATGTCAGCAAAAATATACTTACTTCTAACAGCTTGATACCAAGGGGAAAAATGTTCCCAACCTTCTCCACTTACCCAGGAGTTTTGCAATGATATAAAGGGCTTGTCCCCAAAGAAAGAGTTTTCCATCACGGCCACAGTTGCTAGGAAATCGCTTTTGACTACCAGGGTTTCTTTTCTCATATTCTACAAAATCAGCTGGCACATAATAGTACTTTGGTATGACAGGATAACCTATGGAATTTAAAAATAAATATTTGAAATATAAAAATCAGTGTCCTCCCCAAATTTTCCCTTCAAGAAACTGCAACGTTTGAGAGCAGAGAGAGATAGGTTGTAAAGGAAGTAACAGATTTGACAGGCTACAGGATACTGGATATATTGGCTTTCAGAAACTGCCACTGAAAAACATGAAAAAAGCTCCTGGATTTTAAAACACTAATTTGACAGCATATGTTATCCTTTAGCCAATAATGTGTTCATAATCTCCTTTAACAACATTTAGTTTTAACAACTTTAAATGAATCAATAAAAATACAGTATGCAAACATTTAGAGCCATAGAAGTTTTCTTTAATAGGATTAGTCCACAGAAGCATTACAAATGAGATACTGTGTAATCTCAAATAAAGAATTATAACCCTGAGCCATTGCTTAAAGCAAAGAAATCCCCATTTCAAACATTAAATCCACTATCTACCATTCAATATCACTGAAGAGAAAAAAAAAATCCATCCTCCCCTGTGACCAACTTGTTTAAAAACATTTCTTGAAGGGCACGGGGTGTTATATATAAGTGATGAATAACTAAATTCTACTCCTGAAACCAATATTACCCTATATGTTAACTAACTTGAATATAAATAAAATCCTGGAAATAAATAAATTCCTTGATAGAAACTAAAATTTATTATTTAAAGCCTAAAATCTTTCTGGGTGACATGAAAGAAAAAAGAAAAAACACTCTTGTAGAATGCTACAGAAGACTTTTTGCACTATCAGCCCATAGTAAACTTATTTTTCCTAATAAAATTACATAGATTTCCCAAAAATTTGCTTCCTTCATACATCAATCAATTGTGGTATTTGGTTTATTTATTTTAAATTCAATTATTTATTTATTTTAAATTCAATCACCCAACATATAGTACATCATTAGTTTTTGATATAATGTTCAATGATTCATTAGTTGCATGTAACACCCAGTGCTCATCACATGACGTGCCCTCCTTAATGCCCATCACCCAGTCACCCCATCCCCCCACCCACCTCCCTTTCTGCAACCCTCAGCTTGTTTCCCGGAGTCAAGAGTCTCATACGGTTTGTCTCCATCTCAGATTTCTTCCCATTCAGTTTTCCCTTTCTTCCCCTATGGTCCTCTGCACTATTCCTTATGTTCCACATATGAGTGAAACCATATGATAATTGCCTTTCTCTGATTGACTTCTTTCACTTAGCATAATCCCTTCCAGTTCCATTCATGTCGATGTAAATGGCAGGTATTCATCCTTTCTGATGGCTGAGCAATATTCCATTGTATATATGAACCACATCTTCTTTATCCATTCATCTGCTGAAGGATGTCTGGGCTCTTTCCACAGTTTGGCTATTACAGACATTGCTGCTATGAACACTGGGGAGCATGTGCCCATTCTTTTCACTATATCTGTATCTTTGGAGTAAATATCTAGTAGTGCAATTGCTAGGTCATAGGGTAGCTCTATTTTTAACGTCTTGAGGAACCTCCAAACTGTTTTCCAGAGTGGCTGTACCAGCTTGCATTCCCACCAACACTGTAAGAGGGTTCCTCTTTCTCCACAACCTCATCAACATTTGTTGTTCCCTGTTTTGTTAATTTTAGCCATTCTGACTGGTGTGAGGTGGTATCTCATTGTGGTTTTCATTTGTATTTCCCTGATGGCAAGTGATGTGGAGCATTTTTTCATGTGTCTTTTCTTTTTTTTTATTATTTTTTTTAAAAGATTTTATTTATTTATTTGAGAGAGAGAATGAGATAGAGAGAGCATGAGAGGGGGGAGAAGCAGACTCTCTGCTGAGCAGAGAGCCCGATGTGGGACTCGATCCCGGGACTCCAGGATCATGACCTGAGCCGAAGGCAGTCACCTAACCAACTGAGCCACCCAGGCGTCCCTTTTCATGTGTCTTTTAGCCATTTGTATGTCTTCTTTGGAGAAGTATCTGTTCATGTCTTTGGCCCATTTCTTCGCTGGATTATTTGTTTTTTGGGTGTTGAGTTGAGAAGTTCATTATAGATCTTGGATACCAGCCCTTTATCTGTAATGTCATTTGCAAATATCTTCTCCCATTCCATAGGGTTCCTTTTACTTTTGTTGATTGTTTCCTTTGCTGTGAAGAAGCTTTCTATCTTGATGAAGTCCCAATAGTTCATTTTTGCTTTTGTTTCCCTTGCCTTTAGAGACCTGTCTTGAAAGAAGTTGCTGTGTCCAAGGTCGAAGAGGTTGCTGCCTGTGTTCTCCTCTAGGATTTTGATGGATTCCTGTCTCACATTGAGGTCTTTCATCAATTTTGAGTTTATCTTTGTGTATGGTGTGAGAGAATGGTCCACCTTCATTGCTCTGCATGTGGCTGTCTAATTTTCCTAGCAACATTCATTGAAGAGACTGTCTTTTTTACATTGGATATTCTTTCCTGCTTTGTCAAAGATTAGTTGACCATTAGTTGAGGGTCCATTTCTGGGGTCTATATTCTGTTCCATTGACTTATGTGTCTGTTTTTGTGCCAAAACCATGCTGTCTTGATGATCACAGCTTTATAATATAGCTTGAAGTCTGGCATTGTGACGCCTCCAGCTTTGGTTTTTTGTTTGTTTTTTTAAATTTTTCAACATTCCCCTGGCAATTTGGGGTCTTTTCTGGTTCCACACAAATTTTAGGATTGTTTGTTCCAACTCTGTGAAAAATATCAATGGTATTTTGATAGGGATTTTATTGAAATTGTAGATTGCTCTGGGCAAAATAGACATTTTAACAATGTTTATTCTTCCAATCCATGAGCATGGAATGTTTTTCCGTATCTCTGTGTCTTCCTCAACTTCTTTCTTAAGTGTTCTGTAGTTTCTAGTGCACAGATCTTTTACCTCTTTGGTTAGGTTTATTCCTAGGTATCTTATCGTTTTTGGTGCAATTGTAAATGGGATTTATGCCTTAATTTCTCCTTCTTCAGTCACAGGTTAGTGTATAGAAATGCAACTGATTTCTGTGCAGTGATTTTGTATCCTGCCACGTTGCTGAATTGCTGTATGAGCTCTTATCACTTGGGGGTGGAGTCTTTTGGATTTTCCACAAAAAGTATCATGTCATCTGTGAAGAGTGAGAGTTTGACTTCTTTGTTGCCAATCTGAATGCCTTTTATTTCTTTTTGTTCTCTGATTGCTGAGGCTAGGACTTCTAGTACTATGTTGAAAAATAGTGGTGAGAGTGGTCATCCCTGTCCTGTTCCTGACCTTATGGAAAAGCTCTGTTTTTCCCCATTGAGAATGATATTCACTGTGGGCTTTTCATAGATGGGTTTTATGATATTGAGGTATGTTCCCTCTAACCCTCCACTGTGAAGAGTTTTAATCAAGAAAGGATGCTGTATTTTGTCAAATGCTTTTTCTGCATCAATTGAGAGGATCATATGGTTCTTGTCTCTTCTTTTGTTAATGTGATTTATCACGGTGATTGATTTGGGTTTGTTGAACCACCCTCACATCCCAGGAATAAATCCCACCTGGTCATAGTGAATAATCCTTTTAATGTACTGTTGGATCCTACTGGCTAGGATCTTGGGTGAGTATTTTGGCATCCATGTTCATCACGGATACTGGTCTGTGATTCTCCTTTTTGATGGGTCTTTGCCCAGTTTTGGGATCACGGTAATGCTGCCGCATAGAATGAGTTTGGAAGTCTTCCTTCCACTTCTGTTTTTTTGAAAAAGCTTCAACAGAACAGGTATTATTTCTTCTTTAAATGTTTGGTAAAATTCCCCTGGGAAGCCATCTGGCCCTGGAGTCTTGTTTTTGGGGAGGTTTATAATTACTGCTTCAATTTCCTTGCTGGTTATTGGTCTGTTCAGATTGTCTATTTCTTCCTGTTTCAGTCTTGGTACTTTATAAGTTTCTAGGAATGCATTCATTTCTTCCAGATTACCTAATTTGTTGGCATATAGCTGCTGGTAATAAGTTCTAATAATCGTCTCCATTTCCTTGATATTAGTCTGGATCTCTCCCCTTTCATTCATGTTTTTATTAATTTGGGTCCTTTCTCTTTTCTTTTGGATAAGTCTGGCCAGAGGTTTATCAGTCTTATTAACTTTTTCAAAGAACAAGCTTCTAGTTTCATTGATCTGTTCTACTGTTCTTCTGGTTTCTATTTCATTGATTTCTGCTCTAATCTTTATTATTTCTCTGCTCCTGCTTGGTTTAGGCTTTATTTGCTGTTCTTCCTTCAGGTCCTTTATGTGTAAGGTTAGCTTGTGCATTTGGTATTTTTCTAATTTTTTGAGAGAGGCTTGGATGGCTATGTACCTCCCTCTAAGGACCGTTTTTGCAGTATCCCATAGGTTTTGAACAGATGTGTTTTCATATTCATTGGTTTGCATGAATTGTTTAAGTTCTTCTTTAATTTGCTGGTTGACCCATTCATTCTTTAGGAGGATGTTCTTTAACCTCCAACTGTTTGAGTTCCTTCCATCTTTATTCTTGTGGTTGAGCTCTAGTTTCAAAGCATTTTGGTCTGAAAATATACAGGGAATAATCTCAATCTTTTGGTATCAGCTGAGACCTGATTTGTGACGCAGTATGTGATCTATTCTGGAGAAAGTTCCAATGCGCACATGAGAAGAGTAAGTATTCTGTTGTTTTAGGATGGAATGTTCTGTACATATCTATGAAGTCCATCTGGTCCAATGTGTCATTCAAAATTCTTGTTTCTTTGTTGATCTTCTGCTTAGATGATCTGTCCATTGTTGTGAGTGGAGTGTTGATGTCTCTTACTATTAATGTATTATTATCAATATGTTTCTTTATTTTGGTTATTAATTGGCTTATATAATTGGCTGCTCCCATGTTGGGGATATAGATATTTACAACTGTTAGATCTTCTTGTTGGACAGTCCCTTTAAGTATGATAGAGTGTCCCTCTACATCTCTTATTACGGTCTTTGGTTTAAAATCTAATTTGTCTGATATGAGGATTGCTACCCCAGCTTTCTTTTGAGGTCTGTTGGCATGGTAAATGGTTCTCCATCCCCTCACTTTCAATCTGGAGGTGTCTTTAGGTTCAAAATGAGTCTCTTGTAGACAGCATATGGATGAGTCCTGCTTTTTTATCCAATCTGAAACCCTGCGTCTTTTGATGGGAGCATTCAGCCCATTTACATTCAGAGTAACTACTGAAAGATATGAATTTAGTGCCATTGTATTGCCTGTAAAGTCCCTGTTTCTGTAGATTGTCTCTGTTACTTTCTGGTCTATGTTATTCTTGGGGTCTCCTTTCCCTTACAGTATCCCCCTTACTATTTCTTGCAGGCCTGGCTTGGTGGTCACATATTCTGTCTGTCTGTCCTGGACACTCTTTCTCTCTCCTTCCATTCTAAATGATAGCCTTTCTGGATAAAGTATTCTTGCCTGCATGTTCTTCTCATTTAGTACCCTGAATATATCTTGCTAGCCCTTTCTGGCCTGCCAGGTTTCTGTGGATAGGTCTGATATTAATCTCCTCTCCCCAGCTGCTCTCAGGATAACTTCTTTGGCTCGATGATTTGCAAGCTTCACTATTACATGTTGGGGTGTTGATATGTTTTTTTTTTATTTTGGGAGGGGTCCGCTCTGCCTCTTGGACATGAATGCTTGTTTCCTTCCCCAGATTAGGGAAGTTCTCAGCCATGATTTGCTCAAATCTACTTTCTAGCCCTCTCTCTTTCCATCCCATCTTGGATCCTGATGATTCTGACATTGGTTCTTTTCAAGGCATCATTAAATTCTCTAAGCCTTTCTTCATGGGCTATGAGTTGTTTCCCTGTCTTTTCCTCAACTTCCTTGCTTTCCATCAACCTGTCCTCTAGATCACTTATTCTCTCCTCTGCCTCACTGACCCTAGCTGTTAGAGCATCCAATTTAGACTGCATCTCATTCATAGCATTTTTACGTTCGGCCTGATTAGATATCATTTCCGCCCTTACAGAGTCTGTATTGTCATGTATACTTTTTTTCAAGCTTAGCTATTAACTTTATAATTGCTATCCTGAATTCTATCTCTGACATCTTGCTTATATCCATATAGATCAGCTCTGTGGCAGAGAATATTGCCTCTGGTTCCTTCCTTTGTTGTTGAGTTCCTACTTCTAGTCATTCTGCCCAAGGAAAGATGGATCAGCGAATGAACAAAGTCCAAAATATCAACCATGATCCAAGCAAAATGCACCATAGAAAAAATCTGAAGTGGTCTGCAGCCACCATAGAAAAGCGAACAAAGCTGAAATGAACAAAACAATAAAAACTGGGGGAGGGGGGAGGGGTTGGGAGTATAATCTCTCAGGGTGGACAAAGCAGGGTGATCTATCTGTTCCTGACTGAATTTAGGTCTGTGTGTTAGAATACACTACATCCCCAAAATGCAAAGAAAACAATGTTTATATATAAAATAAAATTTAAGAGAATGAAAAAAGGACTAGAATGAGGCATAAATCTGTAAAATGTAGATGTGAAAAAAAAGGTTAAAAAGTGACTTGAAACATAAATTGGTAAAATAAGGATGTAGTTGCAACAGGAAAAAGGTAAAAAAAAAATGAAAATTTTATATTGAAGGAAAAACAAGTCGTGAGGAAACACCTGTAGCTCAATATATTATTTTCCCCTGGTACTGAAGTTTTACAGTCTGTGGGGTCTATTAGCTTGTCATTTACCTGTTCTTCCAGTCTGTCTTCTGGGGGAGGGGCCTCCTGTTCTGCTTCTCAGGTTTCTTTGCCTAGACAGACCTTGTCAGGGGGATGGGCTCAAGGTGAGCTCGTCCTCTGTGTGGCTTTTGTTCCCCAGTGGCTTTCCTCACCTCTTCAGAGGATCAGAGCAAAAATGGCCTTGACTGGATCCCTGGCCCAGAGCCAAAAGATCACGGACCCCTTCTTCAATAAACTCTCTGGGTCAAACTCTCTGGGTCTCCACTTCTGTGTGCACCAAGCTCCTCAGAAACCCAAGGGTCACGGGGACTGCAATTCTCCCGGGGGAATTCCCAGAGACCCGCGAGCATCTCTGCATTTTGCGTCTTCGGGACTGGGAGCATTTGTGGGCTCATGCGCATGCACCCTGCCCCACCACTCCTAGGTTCCGTCTGGGTGCCGCCCTATTGTCCTTCCCAGAGTTGCTGCCACCCTGAGAGCTGTTGCCCGGTAATGGGCCCAGCCATTTGGACCTTCCCAGGGGTTGGTAACTGACCCATACAACCCAGTATTTTTCTGGGTGCTCAGGCAAAGAGCAGTCTCCCTACCAGCCTGGCTTGCAGTTTATGGGGACCTGAGCTGAGAGTCCCTCCTGGGCTCACTGACCGTAACCAGTTTCCCCGCTCCACTGCTTGGGCACTCTATTGATTCAGGCACCCTGGTTCTTTCTGTGTCTCCTGGGATCCTGGGACCACAGTGACCCACCTAGAATTCTGCCTTTTCCATTCCCTGAGCCCCTTTCAGAAAGGCAATCAATAGTGATATTTGTATCTAAAACCAGTAAAAAGGTCTATGATACACAAAGAATAGTTTGAACATCACTCTCTGAACATGATAAAGACTAAACTGTGGTACACTAAATTACCCTACAATGCATCAACATTCTATACTAACCGTATACTAACAGATCTGATTCAAGGGGTCGGATTTCAAATATTATATTCATTACAGCATGCATTACATTATTTCTCACATTGGACAAATTATTACTTGGAGTATAAAGATATAAATAACTGGTTTCAAAAATTAATATTTATTTGAAATTCAATGTTTATCCACAAATATTTCACTACTTTAACATTACAAGTATTTTAAAGGGTGAGCACATATTGTGAAGTTTTTATTTGAAGATACTTGTGGAAAACCATAAAGAATATCACAAACTTTACCTGAGGGAGAAATGTGGCCCAGTGCTGTAATTGCAAGTTTGTGCACTGGGTCCACAGAACCACCCATTTGTTACCCACACATCATGATTTTTCACTTTCAGATAAATGTTTTCAAAGCTGTTTACTCAAGAGAATATGTTCTTATTTTATTAATACTTCAAATCCCCAAAGTATCTGGAGCTTCTTCTTTGGAATTCTTTGAGAATTAGTTTTCTAGTCATACTGAAAAATCAGTTACATTCTTTTATGGGCCCTGCTGGTGTTTAACCAAAACCAATAAACTACTCATAAAAGTCTTTTAGCCATTTCTAAAATATTAATCCCATCCTCAAAGGATGATACAATAGCACAAGGCAGACATTCAAAATAATATGCAAAAGGTCCAAGAAGCAACTTCAAAGAAGAGGCCAATATGTTCCTGGCAATGGTAGTACCTTTAGGCTATGGCAGAACCTCTTAAGGTAGCCCTCTGGAGGGGCCAGCATTCACCTGAACATAACATTTCTGATGATCTGGAGAAAAATCAGTCACTCTATGTTATTGTCACACTACACAGAGTGAGGGGGTTTCATAGTAGGTAGCAGAACAAGCACCTTTGCCCACCTGGCAAACTATTTTGCAATTACTACAACCATAACCACCTAAATTTATTCTTCATCCTTGTCTTGCCCAATGAACTCGTTTTATAAAAACACACTTATAATTACAAATTAATAGATTATTCTTTATAATACATTGAAGGATCCATTCATTTTTTACAATTTAATATACATTGTTATATTTAAAATGGAATCATTTATACATTTCAAAGGTACATTAAGGAAATACTAGGAAGAATTTCTTGAAAAACAATCCAACTATACCTTCTGTGGTCTGATGAAGTACTGGAGTCAGAAGATCCTGATACTCCTTTACTTGTTTGGGATTGCCTCTAAAAACTCCTAAAATTTAAAATATAAAATCCAATAGCATCTGAGCTCAATAAGTACCACAGAAATTTTGCCTTAGAAAACTCTACTAGCCCATGGGGCACTAGCCCAAACCTCTACTAGAACGGTTAAGTCGGTTAACCATTTGACTCTTGATTTAGGCTCAGGTCATGATCTCAGGGTTGTGAGATGGAGCCTCATGTGGGGCTCCTTGCTAGGCATGGAGCCTGCTTAAGATCTCCCTTCTTCTCCCTCTGCCCTTCTCCCTCCACTCTCTCCCTCTCTCTAAAAAAAAAAAGGAAAAAAAAAAAGGGGAAAAATCTACTAGCCCAGTTATGATTATTTTGGTAATTTTGTAGGTAAATGATAAAAATAAAATTGGAAAAAGGTAATGCAAATATGTATGATATTATTCCATGAAACTGATTTTAGAAGATCATGTTAGCATTTAGAACAGAATATTGAATTTTAATTAAAATTTCTCTATTCTTAAGTATAAATATTATAGATATTCACAATGTCAAAGATTATAATATCCATTACTATTCATAAAAAATTTCTTTTTGCAAGTATGAAAATATATTTGTATCATTTCTTAAATACTTCAAAGTATTTTTTAATTCTTTAAATGATTTAATATTCCCTCAGGAAGCAGAAGAGCAACATATAAAAATGCAGAGCAGTTAACATCACTGAAGTATAGTCTATTTTGCTAGCTGAAAGGGTCATATTTCATCTGCTTTTCTTTAAACCACTTATATCCTATAGCTTAAATTTTAGGAGAAAAGCTCACTTACCATCAATCATCATGTAAAGGAAAAATATGGGAAATTCACATTCAATGCCATCAAACAGCTAAAACATAAAATAAAATATTAAAAATTTCACTGAAGTCAGTTAGAACAATTATATTAGTTAGAACGATTATATTAATTAGAAATATATTAATCGATTATATATAGAATGACCCTTAGAACAAAGTTAAGATATACATAGAAGTATACAGATTATACTATATAGTATAATCAATTAACATACTATATAATTAATATACTATAATCAATTATAGTATATAGGATATACATAGAAGTATATAGTAATAACAAAATTGGACTGATATAAGTAGTTTCATTGTTCTTTTAAAAAAATTCTTAGAACTCTTATTACTCAAAACTTATAATTTAATCCATCACACAGTAATCATTCATTCAATAAATATTTACTAAGTACTTAGTAATACCTGGCACCAACTAGACAAAGGGCTATGAAGACAAAAAAATAGAGAACCTGCCCTCAAGAGCTCCTAGCCTAGTGGGGAATCAGGCATGTAAATAAACAACTATAGTATCATATGAGATGTTTATACATGGTATATCAGGAACACAGGAAATGAAATACCTGAGTCTGCCCAGGGGTTGGGAAGGGATAATAGGAAAGGAGATGCTTCAGTTAAGGCTTGATGGATTCCTCTGGAGAGATGAGCTAAGGGAACTCCATGTAGAGAAAACAATAGTACAAACTACAGAGGCATGGGAGGACAAGTTTACTAAAGAAACTACCAGCAATTCAGTATTTTTGGAACAAACAAGCAAGAATTGAGAAAGTTAATGCCCAAGAGGTGGGCTGGGCCAGGCCAGCCAGTTCAGGAAGGGCCTGGGAAGGTCATGCTAAAAGATTGAGACTTTGATCTGGAAGTGACAGGGAACCACTGATGAATACTGAGCAGAATCAGATTTACTCACTAGTTGGACAGATGGCAGTACTGAAGAGAGTTTTAGAGCAAGAAATAAGGAGACCAGCTGGAATGCTACTTGGAAGCAATCCAAAGAGAAAATATGATAGCCTAAACTGAGGTTTCTCAATTTCAGCACTATTGACATTTTGGGCCAAATAATTCTTTGTTGTACAGGCTGTTCTATGCAATGCAGAATGTTTACTAGCATCTCTGGCCTCTATCTTCCAGATGCCAGTAGCATCCACTAAGTTGTGACAATGAAAAATGTCTGCTGATATTGTCAAATGTCTCCTGGGGCACAAAATCCTTTGCTAATGAATCAATAGCCCAAACCAAGGAGTTAATAGGAAGGGACAGACATTAAGATTTAAAGGAGGTTGAATCTGCTAGGCCTGGGGAGTGAAAAAGAGCTGAATGAGACAGAAAAGCTTAGAATGACTCTCAGGTTTGGGGCTTAGGCAAAAGAATGGGAATTGATCAGAAGCAGACTGAAGGACATCCAAGTAAGGATGTCCAAAAAGCAGCTGGATACATGGTAGGGCACCCAGGGGTAGAAGGAGATCTGGGGTTAAAAGTGATAGCTGAAGCTATGATTGCATGGATAGCATAAAAAAAGAATAGGACTAAGGATGAAACTCAGGAGAAGAGCAATGTTTAGAGGGTGGCAGAAGAAGAACCTGAAAAGACAATGACAGAAGAGAATTAGGAAGAGAATGGGATCACAGAAAATGGAGAATGTTCCAAGAAAGAAGACTCAGTTAAAACATTCAAATGCCAAGGAGAGATTCAGTGAAACAAGATCGGAAAATCATCCACTACCAAGTGACCTAAACCGACTGGAGCCAACACAGCTACTGGAAAGTGTTGAAGAAGAGCTGGGTATAACACGAAGGAGTGAGTAGGAGGCAGACAAGGAGACACACCAAGAACAGACTATGCTTTTCAGAAGTGTGGCTACAAAGAGAGAGAGGACTGGAGGAAGAGAGGAGTAAAAGTTTTTGTTTTAAATGAACATTATTGTGCTTGTGCTGAGGAAAAAAAGCTGATTGGAGTTGGGGGAAGAGCAAGACAGAAGGAAGGGAGAAGTGAGGAAAATGAGGAGGAAAAAAAGAAAGAGAGACAGACATCCTTCTATTAGAGAAGAAAACAAATGATAGAGTAAGAAACCCAAAGAAGTAAAAGAGAACAGGATGGGGTGTACATATGGAGGGTTAGCCCTAGGATGAAGAACAGACAACACCTTCTGTGAGACAAAGAGAGATGAAGGTAGGGATGGATGAAGGATAGGGGTCGTGGAGGAGGCCAAATAGAAATAAAAGGCAATGACCTAAGAAGTAAAGTCTGGGTACCTGAATACAAAAAAAACTGGATATAGGAAAAAGCTGGAAAAGCTTGTAAGGGGAGTTCCTGGCAGAGTCACACAGCAGTGCCGACAAGCGGTAAAATCAACAGTGTGGACTGCATCAAGACGGGTGTTCTGAATCTGGGCTGGCACCTGCCTAGAGCTGTGGCTTTCTGTGCTGGGGCTCAGCAGTTGGTACACGGACAGAGAACCTTTACTGGACTGATCCAAAGATGAAAATTTGCAGGGTGGTAGTTATAGCAGGTCTGATTCAAACGTAAGTGCTATATGTCAGCTCAGGAAATGTATTAAATAGAGAAGAAATATCTGAAGGTGTTTAAGAAATAAATGGATCTTTTGACCCAACCTAACAGACTGCTATAAAGTTTCAAATATGCACACAATAACATGGCTCCAAATGCTTCCAGATGATAGTCAGTTGTGAAATTAAATAAAATGACAAATAGCTTATCTAGTTGTCCAGCAAAACTACATGTGTATTAAATATTAAAAGAGCAGAATTTAACTGCCTAACAAATTATAAGGTACAATGTTGCCTAAACATTTTTTATATAGAGATTCATTGGCCCTTACCTATCTTCAAAGTTATGACCATGCTTACAAAAATAATTTTCAATCTACACCACTAAAGGAAAATCTTCAGCAATGTGGATAGACGCTTACCCTTTTTTTGAGTGTTATAGTTTTCTGAACAGCTTAAAAATAGCTAGAATAAACCTAGATAAAGTGGTATGTATGTGAATTTGAAATAAATGTTTTAAAACTAAATATTTAGAGGACTATATTTCAAAGGGAAATATCTAAGTGAAACAGAAAAAAAGAACATTTGCTTAAAAGATTGAAAGTTGAATCACAAATAGATATTTTCTATTATATAAGGCAAAAGGTATGGAGCAGGTAGGCAAAGTACTGAAAGTGCAGTTGAAAAATTATTCATCCAATGAATCACTGTGGCCCAATATGAGCAAATGGGCCTCACTGCTAGTAAGGCTAACACTTATTGAGTGCTTACTCGGTGTCAAGAACTATTTGAAGCACTTTTAGAGATATGTTAACTCATTTAATCCTCATAAGAACCTCAGTAACAGGACAAATAATAATAGGTACTATTATTATTTTACCAATGAAAAATATTAAACACACAGAGGTTTATTAACTTGCTCAAGGCCAAATAGCTAGTAAGTGGCAGAGCCAGAGTTCAAACCCAAGACATCTGTTTCCTGAATCAGTGCTTTTGACTACTCTGTTATGATATGGAATATTTTTTGATACCTTAATTTCAGCTGGTTTGTAGTAGCGTCTGTTGGGATCTTCCAATGATGTTCTATATCCATCTCTCAAGAAACGCTTAAATCCATATTTTCCTTTTAATTTTCTAACCACTTTATCAAGTGTCTGACTAAACAAAGCTTCATCATCCAGGGCAAAGGCAGGATAACTGATGCAGGGTAGTAGGGCAGCATCTGTGTTCTAGGTGCAATTAGAAAAAGAAGGGAATGTAAATGCCTGCAGTGATATGATCAACACACCCCAAGGAGAATCAGGGAGATGAAAAGTCAATAAGGTTATCTAACTGACAGTGAGACTGCTGTGCCCCAGGGGACAGATAGACATTTATATGACATGGTTTGGTGAACCTTACAGAGGAGATAAAACTTTATCCATTAATAAGGAGTATTTTCAAGATTCAACACTGGACTCAAAATCAAAGATATTAATTAAGGCAGTGTGCAAAAATTTAACACCAGTAATTACTAATTATAACAGTCTGCCATAACATTGGTTTATAATGGTGAAAAACAGAAAACAATCTGAATGTCAACAATTAGCTGAGTAAATTAGCAGCCATTAAACTTTATATTGTAGAAATGTTTATATATATGGAAATATGTCCAGTCATGGAACTAGGTTATTAAGGATTATAAACAATATTCTTCCAGTCTTGTAAAATAAAAAGATTACATATGTACATAAAAATGTGTGGAAACATAAAGCCAAATGATGTCACCCTAAAACTATAATTGAGTGGTGAAATAATTAGTGGATATTGTTATTATTTGCTTATTTGTGGGTTCTGTTTATCATAATCTTGTATTATTTCTATAAAATTGTACTTTTTAAATAATTATTTTATTTGGGGTGTTTTCTAAGAATAGAGCCACAAATAACCCCTAGAAAAATCTGTAATCAGGTATTACATGCATATAAAAGTTTAAAGGTGAATCACATGAGAGAAAAGAAACAAAGCAAGTAACTTTATTCAAAAGAAAGATAAATCATGAAAAACATTTTTCTAATACCCTATGACCAAAAAATTCATTTTGGTATAATGTTGCTACTCTCTACCCCTTCCTCAAAAAATAGGTCTAGTTTTCTATAGTTCTACAAAAGACCCAAGGACAAAGTAGCTGTCCACAGCTCTGCTCACTTCCTGAACCAAACCTCTACAGGACAGTGGAGTGAGGGGCATCATTTATTTCTCTCTCCTCTTCTGGCAACCTCTAACATTTGAAGCACTATTTTGGGGAAGCAATCATAAATGGTAGTTCATATTAGTTTATTATAAAAATATCTCACATGAGATCTTGATTCTCTGGGTAACAGTGAACACAAAGTTTGCCTATTGCGATTGTGAGCATCGAGATCCACAAATATAACCGACCAAGAACAGCCCTGGAATGAGAGAGAAAAAAACATTTCCTAAATCAAGAAAAAAGAACCTGTAGAATACTGGACATAAAGAAATTTCACAAACATATTAATATTGGTTGCATTTGAGAGTGGCATTACAGAAGATTTTAATTTTCTCTTTTTTCAGTATTCCTCAAATTTCTTGTAATAAACATTAATATTATAATCATAAAATATAAATGTTATTTTTACATTTTCCCTATTTCTCCTTAGTCTTATTATAATTCAAAATGTAGTGATTACAAGATAACTAATCAATTAAGGATATTTGTTTTAATAAAGATAAAAATAGTTTATCTAGCATTTTTGGCAAGGAATGAAGCAAGAATTAATTAGGATGCGCAAAATCTGAATTATACAGTCTTAAAAAGAACACTGATTATATGATCAATCTATAAAAATTTAGATACAATCTAGAATTAAAGCTGTAAAAACTATTTGATTAAAATATGAAGATAGGAGCATCTCTAATAATAATAATTCACATAATGCTAGCTAATATTCATGATGTTAAGCACTGTTCTTTATGCTTCACATGGATTATCTCACTTAATCCCCAATATGTAGATATTATTATCCCCATTTTAATGAAGAACATGCTAACTCCTAGTTTAACAGAGCAAGGGTTCAAAAATCAGGTCTTTGACATAGAAGCTCATGTCTTAACCACTGAGTTATACAATTTCCCACATTAAAAAATATCTTTCACTAAGAACCAAAAACTTAAAAAGATAACAAAAAAAATGGCAATTGGTCTGATAACCAAGTTTTAAAAAGTTTACTATTTAGCCATTAGTACTTTCCATATTCAAGAGCATAGTCATAAGTAAACATGGCTTTGCTCTTTTCCTGGGGAGCTAAATATTTTGAAAACATAGGAAATGAAATTGGAATACAAAGTAACTTCCATAATAAGAGAATACTCAGAAAAATACATGGAGAAAGGAAGAAGAGAACTCTTATAACTTTCACGTTACTTTAATATTATCCTCTAAATCTCAACCAAATTTAAACCAACTTCGAAGATGTATTCACCCTGAAACTAAAATACCTAGAATCAATCAATCACTTAGACTGACAGCCCAAATCTAGGACTACTAGGCCCTACATCCAAATATCAGATTCACTATACGTATATTTTTCCTGTTAACCTGTTCATACATGAATATTAGCTCATAAAATAGAATAATTTTTCATTCATGGTATCACTTCTTAAATCTCTCTTAACTCTGATAATTAATAAATGAATAACGAATGAGTGAAGCTGACTCTCAACAATGAGATTAATGCTTAACTGTCCTTCCTACAATTTGAAAATCTCAACTACTCATCTCTACCCACAAAATTGAGCCCAACAAAAGTTTGCTGCAGTAGCTATCACTGTCAGAGTCAAGTGCTCTCTCCTTTGAGGAAAATAAACAAGATAGGACTTGATCTCTTCTCTCAAGGAACAGACCCTGGTGATATATAGTCCCTAAACAAGATGAATAAAGCAAAACAAAAAGATTGCACATGACAATACACAATTATGTTCCAAATGACTGGCCTAGATGAAAGAATACTAATGATAATAAACCTCTTAAATTAATAGGAGAAAAATAATAGGGAACTTGGGGGACTTTCTGGAGAAGGTAAACTAGAATTATGAATTTGGGTGGTTCGGGGAGCAAGTAGGGTGGTTAGAACAAAGCAGCAGAGAAATAAATGGGTATGAGATGTTGGGAATCTGTGAGTATAGAAAATAGGACTTATGGTTTATCCTTAGGTTGATAATTAATAAAGTTAGTTGCATGCCAAATTGAATTGAATTTTTAAAAGATAAAGTCTAAGTAGGTAAACTTATAAATAATGAAGTAAAATGGCAAATTTGGCAATTCCTGACATTATTTGATTAATATAAACAGCTTCTATTTTCTGGCCAAAATCAGTGGCTTATTTACCTAAATTCAAAGTATTTGTTAAGGTCTCTTTCTCTGCCAGCCTCTAAGAAGTATGCACAAAAGGAAAAATAATCTCATAATGTTACCATACTTTAACACTGAGATCAAAGGTTAGTTAACTGTATTGTTTGGCTAACCTCTTAAAAAATATACCATGCTTTAGGTATACAACCCAGGTTTACAGGAGAATAAAATGCATCCAAAGCCACTATTCCTTATCAGAATCAACTTTTGCTAAAAGCCATCAAGGAAAACCTACATATGGAGTTAATTATCACCTTCCTTAAATTATCAGACACATTAATTTTAGGACTGTAAATTTCAAAGGAAGCTACATATGTCTCCATTGCTTTGAACACTTTTCATAATATGAGTAATCTCTCCAGTCATCACCTTTAGATTCTGGCCTCAGCTCATCTGTTAGTATCTTAACTTCTCCAATTAAAGACACATAATATGAAAGGACGTTTTATATATACATATGTCATTGTAAAATATCTGATTAGCTTTGGATATTTTATTTTAATCTTCCATATTCTAAAATCATCACAAATCTGCCATAATATCCCAACTCCAGCAAAAGAACATATTTTAAGACTGGTAGTTCAAACTTTAATCCCCAAATTGAGTTTCTGCAATTGTGTCCTAGTAAATACACTAGAATTTGATTCAACCTGACTACTGTCATGGGGACTTGAGTTTCAGTGGTGGGTAAGAGCTGCACTGAACCATCTACTCCAGGCTCCAAGACCACAACAAACATTTCTGAGATGGTACCAAGGTGACATCTATGACCATAAGATACTGCTGATCTCTTTAGTCTCAATTCAAAGTGAAATTATTTGAATTTCAGAAAGACTGTCTGGGTCTTTCTTTTCCCCATTAATCACTTCTCTGAACCTGAGCTAATGGGCTTGCTACCCTCATCCAGCATCAAACAATCAAACAATGAAACTGGTCAGTATATCTACTATACATGAAATCTTTTCTATTCTTCCTAAAACAAAACCAACACCAGGCTGATGACACCACATTCTTCCCTAGTTCAGCATCAGGCTGTCTCTTAGCTTTGTGGCAGATCCTGGAAAGTGAATTCCTACAGAAATGATATTTGTTGATGAGCCTTACCCCATGCACCATGGCTATGGGTGCATAATGGCCCACTTTTACACACTGACCAAACAGTAGCCTCTAGTAGCCCCTCCCACAAGCCAGGCTTCTTTTCTCTACAGAAGGTCCTACTCACATAATGGAATTTTCAAACTACAGAAAGAGATGAACCTGAGTGTTAATTCTCAAGGTTTCAGAAGAGGAGAGCTGAGACTCAGAGCCAGGAATCACAAAACTGTTGCTAACAATGTCAATGGCATTTGCTGAGTGTAAATTATGATTTATTTAAATATTACTTCTAATAATATTTCTTTATATATATATATTTCTTTATACATAATATATATTTATACAGAATATATATTGAAACCATGATGAAATACATAATTCTCACATTGAGGATTATATGAGTTATATTTCTAAATGCTAAAATTAGCCTTTATTATAAACTTATCAGTAAAGAAATTAGGCCATTTTATCATATTTTCTTCTTAGATATTCTCTCACAAAGGAAAATAAGTTTTGAAAATAGTTTCAGAGTAAATATTTATTTTATTTTTTTAAAGATTTTATTTATTTGTCAGAGAGAGAGAGAGCACAAGCAGGGGGAGCGGCAGGCAGAGGTAGCAGGCTCCCTGCTGAGCAAGGACCCCGATGCAGGACTCTATCCCAGGACCCTGGGATCATGACCTGAGCCCAAGGCAGACGCTTAACCCACTGAGCCACCCAGGCGTCCCTTTTTTTTTTTTTAAGATTTTATTCAGAGTAAATATTTAAATAATGGGTTTTTTTCTTGAATAATAAAGCAAGTCTAATATTTAAAAAAAGAAAGGAAGTAGAAACACATGATAGTAATAATGAAAACGAAAAGCTTTTCCACCCAATAATCCCCATAAAAATAAAAATTAACATTCATCTTATACACTGAAGTACACAAAGGGCAAAAGGCAAGCCTTTCACATTTTTCATATATGGATACCTCCTTCAAAAGTTCAGTATTTAAGAAAATAGTGCGGTCAAAGGTACAAACTCTCAGTTATAAAATAAATCTTGGTGATGTAATGTACAGCATGGTGACTATAGTTAATAATATTGTATTTGTATATTTGAGTGTTGCTAAGGGAATAGATCTTAAAAGTTCCCATCATAAGAAAAAAAATTCTAACTATGTATGTTGATGGATGTTAACTAGACTTAATGTGGTGATCATTTTGCAATATATACAAATATCCAGTCATTGTCATACACCTGAAATTAATTTTATATATCAATTCTATCTCAATGAAAATTTTAATTTAACTCAAAAAAAGAAATGCCTTAAGAGTTTTCCAAGGAAAAGCACAGCTGCAAAGGTGGAAAGCATTCAAGATCGAAGATTTCCTGTACTGATAGCTGATATTCTAGATTCATTACCAAGTGGCTTTGGTTTAATTCCTGGTTTTGCCTCTGTTTCATGACCTGCAAAAAGCCATCTCAACTCTCTGACCACTCATTTTGAGAGACAGGCCCTTCCAGCTCCAAAGATCTATTACTCTCTGAGTTGCCACCAACAGAAGCATTTTTTGAAAGCTCTAAATTAATTTAAAGACACATGAGCAGGTCTTTCAAAACACTGTATCAATAGTTGTTAGAAATAACTGAGAATACCCATGTGACCTGAAATCCCTCAAGTCTTGAAGAGGTTTCTTTGGGTTTTCATTTGAATAAAAACATTTGTTATATTAGTTCTTTTTCTAGCTACTGACTTTTCTAGCTACTGACTTCATGTACTTAAAAGAGCTGCGGTCTCTTTTAAGTACATGAAGCAATATTATAAGATGATTAAACACTAAAAAGATCACATGCACTTTTAAATGTGCTGTTTAGCAGGTATCTTTTTAATTTAACTGCTGTAGTGATGGGAATTTGCAAAACTAGGATTCCCTCTGATATTACCCAAGAAAAATGGAAGACAAAGAGGGGTTCTACTCGTAATAGGTAACATCTGTGTGGCTACAGGAATAAAACATTATTTGTCTAAATTTCTACCTGAAATAATCAAGGAATAGTTAAGTCAGTGAACATTTGGTATATAGCTCTGCTGGAAACAGACACAAGTTAAACAAGGTCAAGAATGAACTCTGCTTTGGGAGAGTTCTGGGTGGCTGGGTGGCTCAGTCAGTTAAGCATCTGCCTTCGGCTCAGGTCATAATCCCAGGATCCTGGGATCGAGACCCACATCGGGCTCCTTGCTCCGTGAGGAGCCTGCTTCTCTCTCTGTCTGCCGCTCCCCCTGCTTGTGTGCGCTCTCTCTCATTCTCTCTGACAAATAAATAAATAAAATTTAAAAAAAATATATGAACTCTGCTTAGAGCAGTTGTTCTCATCCTTGGCTGCAAATTAGAATTCCTGGGCAGTACAGGAAAACTTCAACACCAAGGCCTCCCCCAGACCAATTCAATCAGAATCTTTAGGACTAGAGCCCATGCATCAGTATTGTTTTTTAAGTTCCTCAAATAATTCCAATGCACAGCCAAGATTGAGAAATTATGGCTGGGTAACAATACCGGCAATATACTTATAACTCAAAATCAGAATGCATAAAAAATCAATTCAGGGGCACCTGGGTGGCTCAGTTGTTAAGCGTCTGCCTTCGGCTCAGGTCATGATCCCAGGGTCCTGGGATCAAGCCCCACATCGGGCTCCCTGCTCGGCGGGAAGCCTGCTTCTCCCTCTCCCACTCCCCCTGCTTGTGTTCCCTCTCTTGCTGTGTCTCTCTCTCTGTCAAATAAATAAAATCTTAAAAAAAAAAAAACTTAAAAAAAAAATCAATTCAGTGCTTTTAGAGTTATGGCTAAGAGCTCTATGAGAGCTTTCTGGGAAAAGCAGGCTGAAGGTAGAGCCCTGAGAGATAAGGAGTTGGGAAAGGTGCCATTATGTGTGTGGGTATCTAGGTAGGTGGAGGGGGTATATACCAGATACATAAGCTACATGTGCTAAGATTCCAGTACATCAAAGGAGATGGCACAGCTGCAAAAAAGAGCTGACCACTACTTCACTAAACACACAACTCCACTCAGCCACTATCTGGTAGGCCATGGAGAACAGAAGAGCAAGACCTGCATCTTTCCAGACTGTTGCTGTAACATTACTGGTTTAGTCCATGACTCTTCTCCATCTCTTTGAGATACTCTCTAGAGGTTTTCCAGTCCAATCTCTTCATTTCCTTTCTTTAGGATTACCAGTAATTCATTAATGGTAACAAGAGATAACACTTACTGAGGGTTTAATCTTTGCCAAACACTGTGCTAACTGTTTTTTAATTGTATGAAAACCTTCTCTGTTAGGTCCTAGTATCATTACCTCTACCTTTTCAGAGGAGGAAGCTGAGACACAGGTAAATAGCCAAAGTTACAGAACTCACTAGTGGGAGTACGGAGCATACAGTGATTCTGTTTCCTGACTCCCAAAACAACATCATTCCTTTATGCCATATTACCCTCCCTTCTTTCCTTCCTATCTATCAATCCCTACTTATCTATCTCTCCCTCTATTATATATATATATATATACATATATATATATATATTCTCTACATATTTATATTTACACACACACATTCATAAATATATAAACATTTAAATGAATGTATTGAGTGAGGAAGGGGTAAAAGGAAACGAAAAGCATTGAAAGATACATGTGGAATTTCCCTGAGTATGTTGACTCTTCCTGGGAGAGGGAAATGTTGATACAAGCCAAGGAATCAGTGCCAGAGGAAGGAAGACTCTCCAGGAGAGGTCTATTATTAATATTCATGATTTTCAATTGGCTCAAAAACCCCTAAGTCCCCACAAGCTCTGATCCCTCCATGTCTCCAGCCAGAGGTCTTGAGAGAAGAATAAGAGTATGGGAGTGGGTGATTTAGAGTCACCTCTTGGGAACCAGAATGAGGTGCTGCTCCCCTCTTCCCAATCTCTTCATGTCTGTGCTTATTCTTCATTCTTCATGTCCTGGATATAATCAGAAGCCATACTCCAGAGGAAATTGGAGTGAGAGGAAAGGACAGTTTGTGTATGTAGGGAGGGGAAGAGAGGCAGTTTGCTACTATACTCCAACTTGAACTTTCTTAAATTCAAGACTTCAGGTGCATAGTATTATAACTGCCATAATAGAAACCATGCCACATTTTGCAGATCTGCGTAAGTTCTTAAAATTTATCTTCACTGACTTAGCATTTTAACAGCTTAGGGTTATTTACAGTATCAGTTGGAAACTTCCTTTACCCTCCCATCTTAGAAATCCACAAAAATTGCTACAGAAAATTAGCCTACTCCTTGATTCAGAAAAGTAACCTGTATTCCTACATATTATTGCCTTCCATTGACAACCCAGTCCATGGTCACTTGATTAGGTGCAGAAACTCGTTAAACATCTTATGAAAATTTAAGGCAACCCTCAGGGTTTCCTTTTTATCTCAAAGAAAAAGAGATTTAGACATAAAATTACAGGTAGCTGAGGGTTAAGCTAGGATCAAAGTTTCCAATTCTTTGGCTGCACATATTACACAAATTCCCCTCTGCATGAGATACACATTGATATACATTAAATTGAAATCAACATGGGAACTGACACAGAAAATATATGGTTTGTAATGTCAGGAATATTTAAAAATGTGAAAACAGAGTGCTTGGCTGGCTCAGTTGGTAAAGCATGAAATTCTTGATCTTGGGGTTGTTAATTCAAGCCCCATGATGGGCATAGAGTTTACTTTATATATATATATATATTTTTGAAGATTTTATTTATTTATTTGACAGAGAGAGAGAGTGAGAGCAGGAACACAAGCAGGGGGAGTGGGAGAGGGAGAAGCAGGCCTCCCACTGAGCAGGGAGCCCGATGCGGGGCTGGATCCCAGGACCCCGGGATCACGACCTGAGCCAAAGGCAGATGCCCAACGACTGAGCCACCCAGGCACCCCTAGAGTTTACTTAAAAAAAAAAGAGGGAGAGAGAAATAAAAATGTGAAAGTTCAACAAGAGACTTGAGGGAAAAGCTACTGAACAAAGAAAATGAGAATTCTTTATCAAAAGCTATTTTTAAATTAAGCAATGCTTTTTTAGTTAGAAAAATATAATTTAACTGGCAAACTTACTCAAAGGAAAGGTTGGTCAACCATGAGCTGCTACATAAATTTCAGACATTCTTTGATCATAAGGAATGACTTCATAAATGAATGGCCAAATTAATTAATCATGCAATTCAACAAAATAATCAGTTTGTTGTTGATATTCCTGTTGTGTTTTTTTTTTTTTACCTGGTTGCCAAAGAGGTTGAATCCATTAATTGCTTCTAGAGCTGCTTTTGCTAAGCCAACAGAGCTAAAAGAGAAAAGGAAATACTTTAGAATTCTGATGTCTGGCTACAAAATAAGAACCATTATCTAATGAATATTCACAAGCAAGTTTTTTTATTAACACTTATAACAACTTCCATGAGAAAAAAATGTGTAAGACACTTTAATCTGACATTTCACTATTTTAATTTTTCTTTTTTATGGTTAGTGATCTTTTGGGAAAAATATTTCTAAGTTCACCTTGATCTAGACAAATGGTCATACTATTGATGGGAGTAATTTTAATCCCAGTATCATTTATATTCAGTAACTCAAGGAAAAAAAAAAAGATGAACTTTAGAGGAAGGTGTATTATGATGACATGTACTCAGTAATAACCAGGCTGGGCATCTTTAGTTCAGATCAATTTAACAGAGCTTTCCTGACATTCTTAGCTTAGGGTCCAATGAAATAGGCATTATTTTATACTCAAAGAACAACTGATCACCACACCTCTCATTTTTTGCCATATGCTTCTCTTTGTATAAAATGTGTACTCCTTTGGCCGCTCAAATGCCATATACAATAGTGCTGAAAAATGGGAAGATCTCAATTTCATTAAAAATGTGACACTGTCGGGACACTGGGTGCCTCAGTCGGTTAAGTGTCTGCCTTCGGCTCAGGTCATGATCCCAGGGTCCTGGGATCAAGTCCCGCATCAGAATCCTTGCTCAGCAGGGAGCCTGCTTCTCCCTCTGCCTGCCGCTCCCCATGCTTGTGCTTCTCTCTCTCTCTCTCTCTGACAAATAAATAAAATCTTTAAAATAAAATAAAATCTGAAAAGAAGTGTGACACTGTCATCTTATAAATGTCAACCTTTAAATATAACCTTTAAATATTTTAGATCAAATATCTAGTTTATTATACTTATCGCAATCTTTTTGTTTTTACTTAAAGCAACTGCATGTGCCATTAATATCTTTTGAAAATCATGGTCTATCATCATTTCTTTAAAGAATCAAGCATTTCTTTAAAGCAGTCATTACAAAAGTGTGGTCCCCAGAGCAGCAGCATTCCCTGGGAACTTACTAGAAATGCCAGTTCTCACTCCTCTCTGGGAGTGGGATCCGACAATCAGTGTTAAAAGCCCTCTAGGTGCTTGAATGTGCTTTAAATTTGAGAACCACTGTTCTGAGTTATTCATGTCATCGTAAGCACTACTTTTATTACAGAATAGGGAAACTTATTCTGAAAGAATGGAAAAAGGTGGGAAATTTATTTTGAAATACATGGATGGAAAGGTGGAGTAGACATAACTTTCCCAAATGCCTCTCACTAAATATAACTAAAAACCTTGGACACTATGTAAGCAACATAAAAAGGCTCAGAAAATGGAAATAAGGCAGACTGGCTAAGAACCTCAAGATTCTAGGAACAACACCGTGGTAAACACTCTGAGTTTCCTTTTTGCCTCATATATAACAGACTTAAAGATAAAGAAGCCAACAATTAGGAATGTCAGTAGGTGCATACACAAAAAGCCCCAACAAAAGCCTGCTTTTTCTAGCCAAAGGACCAGGAAAAGGGCAGCCTAGCAAAACAGAAAACTTTTAGACAAAAACCATTCAGAAAAAAACTGTGGCCTTAGCCCTACCTAGTCTTATAAAGGCTGAGTGGAAAACCTAGACTTTTACATTCCAGAGTCTATAATGAGGAACCATACCCATTCACCAATCCTCCTGGCTATGATGGTGTCACAAAAGTCCAAGGAGGAAGCCAAGACCTTTCATTCCCAATGGGTGGTAAGAAGTCTCCCCTCCTCATACTGTGAAGATCACACGGAGAGCCTAGATTTCCACTCCTACCCATCAGTATTGAAATGAACCTCCTTGTCCTGCTGGGATGGCATCAGGGGAGGTCCAATGGACAGTCAGGACTTTCACTAATGCCCAGCTGTAAGGAGACTACACCCTTTCCCTATCATGTAAGTGGAGGCCAACTGGGAATAAGTAATGAAGCATTCCTATCCTTTCCAGCTAGGGAGGTTATCAGTGGAGGCCTAGCGGGGAAATATACATCCCACCCAGACCCAGAAGTAACAAAGGTTCTCCATCTTGGATGTCAACAAAAAATCCGGCAATACATTCTCACCTGGCAATAACAGTGATGCTCCCGTCCCCTGCCCCTACCAGAGTGGTATCAATAAAATACAGTTAAAGTAAAAAGTTAAAAAAAAAGATTCAGGGCCTTATAATATAATACCTAAATGTCCATGTCTCAATAAAAAAAATCACTCATCATATCTAAAAACAGAAAGATCTCCAGTTGAATGAAAAAGACAATCAATAAATCCTAACACTGAAATGAAAAAGATGTTAGAATTATGGGACAAAATTTTAAAGCAGCCATGATAAAAATGCTTCATTGAGCAATTATGAATATGAGTGAAACATATGAAAAGACAGAAAGCCTCAGCTAAGAAATGGATAGTCTCAGCAAAACTGTTAGAATTGAAAAATACAATAATCAAAGAAAAAAGCTCCATAGACAGGATTGATGGCAGAACGGAAAAGACAGAAGAAAAAATAACTAAATTAGAAGATAAAATAATAAAAATTATCCAATCTGAGCAAAAGAGAGAAAACAGACTGTTAAAAAAAAAATGAAGAGAGCCTCAGGGGCCTGTGGGACATCTAACATTCATGTCACTGGACTCCATGAAGGAGAGGAGAAAGAGGGCAGGGCTAAAAAAAGTACTTGAAATAATGGTAGAGAACTTCCCAATTAGCAAAAGACAAAAGCTACAGATTCAAGCAGCTAACTCAAACAGAATAAAATAAAAATATCCATGCTAGGACACATCATAAGTTTTGAAAACTAATACAAATTAAAAATCTTAAAAAAGAGGCACCTGAAAAAAAAAAAAAAAAAAAAGAGGCACCTGGTTGGCTCAGGGGGTGGAGTGAGCTCAGGGTCATGATTTTAAGCCCCAGGTTGGGTGTGGAGATTAGTTAAAAATAAAAAATCTTGTAAAAAAAATCTTGAAAGTAGCCAGAAAAAAACACCTGACCTATAGAAGGAAAAACAAATGAATAAGAGTGACTTATAAGAAACCATGAAAGCTAAAAAGATGTGGCATGAAAGTTTTCAAGCACTAAAAGAAAAGAACTGTCAACCCAGAATTTTACATGCATAAACACATTCTTTTATCTATCATCTATTAATTTACCTATCTAGCTGAGCAAGACATTCTCAGATAAAAGAAAAATAAGAGATCTGTCACCAGCAGATCTACTCTAAAAGTGTGACTAAAATAAGTTCTCAAAACAGAAAGGAAATGATAGGACGAAAGAGGGAAAGAAAACAACAACCTTGGAACAATCAAAAAGGAAGAAAGAATATGGTAAGCAAAAATATGGGTAAATATAACAGGCTTTTCTTCTCCTCTTACATTTTATAAATTATGTGTAATAGTTACAGCAAAAGTTGTAAAACTGTGGTTCTAAATGTATGGGGAAGAAATATTTAAGATAATTATATTATAGATGGGCAAGGGTAATTCTCTATTTCCCTCCAACTGGTACAATGATGACATCAATAAGCTGACCTATTGTGTATAAATAATGTAATATCTACAGCAACCACTAAAAAACTACACAAAAAGATACATTCAAATCCAATATACATATATCAAAATGGAACTCTAAAAAATGTTCAAGAACCCACAGGAAGGTAGAAAAAGAAAAAGAGAGAAATGAAAAACAGAGAGAATAAACACAAAACAGAAATAAAATGGCAGACTTAACCCCAAACATATCAGTAGGATCTAACTATATCAATTAAAAGAAAAACTGGCAGAGTTGATTTAAAAATATGACCCGGGGTGCCTGAGTGGCTCAGTTGGTTAAGCATCTGCCTTCAGTTCAGGCCCCTGGGACTGAACCCCCACATTGGGCTCCCTGCTCAGCAGGAAGTCTGCTTCTCCCTCTCTTTCTGTCCCTCCCCCTACTTGTGCTTGCTTGTGCTCTCTCTCAAATAAAAAAATAAAATCTTAAAAAAGATCAAAAAACAAAAATAACCAGGACCCAATTATATATCATCCAATAAGAAACTCAATTCAAATGTAACAATATAAGCAGACCGAAAGTAAAAGGATAAAAAAAGAAATATCATGCAAACATTAATTTCAAAAAGCAAGAGTGACTATTTAATATCAGATAAAGTAGACAGCAGAGCAATGAAAATTACTGGAGACTGAGAGCGATATTATATAATGATTAAATGGTCAATTCACCAAGAAGACAGAGCAATCTTTTTTTTGTTTTTTTGTTGTTTTTTTTTATTTTTAATTTTTTTATTGTTATGTTAATCCCCATACATTACATCATTAGTTTTAGATGTAGTGTTCCATGATTCATTGTTTGTGTATAACACCCAGTGCTCCATGCAGAATGTGCCCTCTTTAATACCCATCACCAGGCTAACCCATCCTCCCACCCCCCTCCCCTCTAGAACCCTCAGTTTGTTTTTCAGAGTCCATCGTCTCTCATGGTTCGTCTCCTCCTCCGATTTCCCCCCTTCATTCTTCCCCTCCTGCTACCTTCTTCTTTTTTTTTTTCTTAACATATATTGCATTATTTGTTTCAGAGGTTTTTTACAAGATTTATTTATTTATTTGACAGAGAGAGACACGGTGAGAGAGGGAACACAAGCAGGGGGAGTGGGAGAGGGAGAAACAGGCTTCCCGCTGAACAGGGAGCCCCATGTCGGGCTTGATCCCAGGACCCTGGGATCATGACCTGAGCCGAAGGCAGACGCTTAACGACTGAGCCACCAAGGCGCCCCAAGACATTGCAATCTTAAATGTACATGCACCAAATAAAAGAGCTGCACAATATGTGAAGCAAAACTGATAGAACTAAAAGGACAAATAGACAAAACCACAATTATAGTTGGAGACTCAATACTCCTTTCTCAACAATTAGTAGAAAGACTAGGCATAAAATTTGAAAGGATATAGAAGAACCATTAGCCAGCAGAATCTCA